AGAGTTTTGTTCAGCATGGGGGTGAGTAGAAAATGAAGGCTAATCATGTTTTGGGTGTACTATTCCTTTAAGGGTGGTGTTTATCTATGTTGTAATTTTAAGGACGTACTCCATATTAACTTATCAGAATTTATATTAAAATTGGTCTTTCGCAATTTCAGATACATTTACTGGCAAAAAAATTACCAAAAACAAACTCGTAATTTCATTTAAATGTCTAAAATAAATGGTTAATGCTCCAACTGAATCCTTTTACAAAATAAAAGGCTATTCCACAGCTTAATCAAAGGGGATACAATTAACATCTTAAAATGTTTTGACAGCGAACTCAGCCAACCCTTTGGAAAATGAAGCCTAAACTCAAACATTGGGAAGAATGAGTGAACATAAAGGAAAAAACTAGATCACACTAGTAGTGAACCTACAGCTGTCTCCAAAACTGTTTTTATATTATTTTTCTTATTTCATTCACATGAGAAAAGAACCGACCTCTGGAGAGGCATAAACACTAACAAATTCCTTTTTTCCCGATTAGATAAACCAATTTATTCCATTGACAATAAAGGTCAGCATTAGCCTTGAACATGCTATCATCAGGAGCAGAATATGTGGGATTCTAAAAATGATAAACGTGCTCGAGTAGTATTTGTGAGAGAAAAAAATAAATCCAACTAACATAAAGTTCAATAGAGAAACCAAATAACATGGCATGTAAATAACAATATTCAGCAAGTTGTGAAAGATAAAAGAACAGAAATGTAAAAATTGCTGCTTTATATAAAAGAAAAAACTAATGCTTACATAACAAGAACGCAAGCAGAAAGCAATTAAGTAATATACTCAGTTTGTGTATACAGTTGTTAAATGTATTTCTCCCAGGACATAAAGTTAAGAGATGTCTTGAATGCATAGAACTAAGCACAAAACATGGTGCTATTTGTTGACGCAAATGATAACTTTTTTATACATTAAACATATGTAGACATATTAATACAATTTATACCCATGTAATAACGTTGTAGCATATAACTTAACATTCAAAGGGCCATGCAAGTATGAGTAACATACAAGAGAGTTAAAGTGTACACTTAATTTTAATCTTCAGACATATTAGTCGCTTGTACCTACGGACAAAGAAGAGGATTGCAGACATGTGATTGTAGGTGAGCTACTGGCTACACTAAAATCCTATGCTTACATATTTTGGCATCTCTACAACTGTACCATTTACATAGGCTTTGCAAAATCAGATACACATTTTAGTCATTCATGAAGAGGAGGAGAAAGGTTGCTTCAACTGGCCACAACAAGACTAGATGATTGGAAATGATGAAAAAACATATTCCTTTGTGTTTGTTCCAGTCGTTTTTACGGTATGACCAAAACCCAGTCCCGGTGGATACGGCGAATCATTAAAATGAGTCGACGCGATAAATTACCAGATAATAACAGCTACAGTACCAAGCGACCACCGTCGAGAAGCCCAGTCCCAAATGTTAGGCCATAGGGCATTGGCCACAGCTCAGGTTTCGTAATAGAAAACAATGTTATCTATGGCAGAACAGAAAGCAACAGTAGCATCCGTGTTCAATCGCCTGACGTTAAACAATTAAGAAAAATAGATATAGCCCCTTAGCTAACTGAACAATTGGCCGTATCCTTAGCCAACGGGCTCGTCTGAGTGTGCGCCATCATCACCGTGACGGCGTCACCGTCTCCCATAACACAAGACAGTCGATGAGCAAACAAACGTTAGGTTGCTCTAAGATGTACGCACACGATCATTCGCTAGACAAATTGAAGGGTAGTTGTCACAATCAGTGGGTGAAACAGGCAATGGTTGTCAGGTAGACTCGCGTTTTAGGTGCGGTTATTGTGTCTTTTGACAGACAACTGCAAACTAGCTTAAGCTAGCAAGCTAGCTACTCACAACAGGCCGCTATGCAAGAGAGCGATATCTGTGGGCGCCGGGCATCTTTATTACCGCAGAGGCATTGACATCACGATTACTGCGTCTCTTGTCTATTAGTTTCTCGTTATTCTGGAGTGTCATGGCTGTCAAAACAGTGTTGGAAACAACGGCATTTACCTGTGTTTCTCAGGTTGCCAGGGCGCGCGGGATCTTTCTCTCCGAGGATCCTGAACACCTCTCGATATTGATGACGTAACGCGTAAATCCTTACTCGAGGACGTAAAGAACGTGCCACAAACTGGAAATAAAAAGCTTTCATTTCCTTCATAGAATTGAACTGGCTCATTGCTTCCTCTGGGAATATAAACGCTGCTAAAACTGTAAATATATAACACAAATTAGGATCTTTTTTTGTTGGATTTCTTGACACCGTGTATATATATATATATATATATATATATATATATATATATATATATATATATATGTGTGTGTATGTATGTATGTATGTATGTATGTATGTATGTATGTATGTATATATATATATGTATATGTATGTATGTTCTGGTACGATATGTGTCCAGACAAAAATCTTCGTTTGCTCAGATCCGACTACCCAAAATAAAGATGTTTGTTTTTAGGTTTATGTGTTTTCTGAAGTAAAAGAATCCCCCCCCAAAAAAAAAAAAAAAAAAAACAGAGCAAAATGGAATTTTTTTTTCATTTTGGTAATTCTTTTTAAAATTCAGTAATTTACCTATACAAAAGATGGCAGTAATAAAGATATATAATAAAGCTAGGTAAATGGAATTGTCCACTAATACATCGTGAACCCGCCGGGCCGTTTGGTGGCGGTAATACAGCAGAAAACGGATGTCACTTAAATTTACAGAAAGAAGAAGAAGAATCTGGAGCTTTTACCCGGAAATTAGTCTGAAGGTCTTCTGTAATGTTTTTGGGTAACTCTTAAAGGCTGTGGATAAGAATTTGACGTGGAAATGGGTGTTAAAATAGAGATATTCCGAGTAAGCAAATAAAGAATATTTTAATGTTTTTCTTAATTGATATTCAATATTGTTAGATGGTGTTTATTCGTGTCTTAGTTACAATATCCACTTTGCGTAACTTTTCATTACGTTGAACCCCTTTGCAGATGATGCTCTATTTGTCTTTTCCCGTGACCATGTTTTGGATCTCAAACCAGGCAGAGTACTTCGAGGAGTATATCGTAAAGAGAAAGGTATGCCATTTTCCGTGTGTTGTTTTTAGTTCATATACCATTCTGTCTGAAACCGCATTTGACCCTGTCCAATCATGCTGTATTTCTAAGATTAAAAATATATATATTCATATATTTTGGTCTTTTATAATTTCCAGAGGGAAATCTTCCCGCCTGATGAAGAGTCACAGGTGAGTGAAATGCGTAGATCATGTTTAAAAAGCCATCACTTCATAAAGTTAATAAAAATACAACCATTTCTTGTCAGTTTTTTGTTTTAATGGTAAAAAATTGTAGTTTAAGACTCGATTTTACCAAAAAAATGCACCGATTAGTTTTTACATAAGACAATGTTTAATATCAGAAGTAAATATTTTTAATGAGGTAATTCAAACACCTCTCTTAAAGGCACAACATTTGTATTTATTTTTAAAAATCTTTTGATCATCTTTGTTTCCCCAAGATTATAAGGAGCTTATTTGCATTTTGTCTCAATTCACTACTGAATACCACAATAATTGAATGCGTTTTGTTTTTCTTTTGTTTTCAGAGGAAGGAGTTGGAAGACTTTAAAGAGAGGATGCGTGTTCGAAAGGAGCAACAGTTATTAAAAAAAATGAATGAAAATTGAAGATTTTGTGTTTTGGGAAAATGTATGTTATTATAATGGGGGCAGATGGATCACTACAGTTCAGAACCAGACCACAGTGCACCCGAAATATTGGCAAGGCTAACATGATTGAATGCATACTTGACAATTTTTGAGGATTAATCTTACCCATAATGCCAGATGTTCTTAAATTTATTAATGACATACTTTTTTATAAAATATTTCTTATATGTTTGAATTGTTTTCCCTTGTAATATCTGTATTACTTTAGGGTTTATTTTCTGTGACTGCAGTTTATTTTGTAAAGTGTAATGCTGTTAAAATATAAAAACTGGGAAATAGAAAGAAATAGAAAAAATGTGCTTTATTTATTTTTCTGAATTGTATACTGACCCACAAGAGCAGTTAATTGGCAGAATTTTTGGCATGGTATTAACTTTAAAAGATTAATTTATTTGAAGTGATATAGTTCTGTTAGGTTTGTCACAAGAAGTATTAAGACTGATTTCTTTGAACTTGCAATTCACCAACAAAATTCCATAAAAAACTTGTGTAATTCATTCATATTTTGTTGCATTTGCTTCAGTGTGTGCAGTTGGAAAGATTATTGGTTCCATTATGGATGGGCTTAATGCAATTTGTTTAAAGCTTGAAGGATTTTTCTAGAAATACAATTCAAAGGTATATTATAGGTTTGGTAAAAAAAACATTGGAACTTTGGGGATTATAAATATATAAATTAAAACAGGTTTAAATTAACATATTCCATACACTGAGGGAGAAATTAGTTTATTTCATTGATTAAAACTGCAATTTAAAGTAGTCTTGGGAGTGAGAAATTCTACCTATTATCAAAATGATTGAAGCTGAGTAAGTTTTTAAAAAAAAAATCAGTTTTCTTACGATCAGGAAAACTACTTGTAATAGTTGTATACGTTACAACTAAAGTCTTCTTCCAGTAACATTTATACTTGATTGATGTGCTGTATATTGGCTGCTTATTATTTTTCTTATGAGGTGCTTTAAAGTTTTTCTATTGTCAGAAATAAGATTACATCATGCACCAACTTACAGTAACCCATTGATCAGTATAAATAAAATAGAGAGAATTGTGATTCCTTGTAAAAACCACCTAATATTTTGGATGTTCCTCTACAGCTATGAAGAGCTGAGATTATTTGATGATGAATAGCTGTTGACAAGTGTTTCCTGAAGCTCAGTAGATGGCTGCCTTTGACATATTTTGGCAGTGGGAAGTGCCCAGCTGACTTTCTTTTAGAATGACTGCACTTATTTATTTATTTTTTTTTCGATATATTTATTTATAGATAGATAGATAGATAGATAGATAGATAGATAGATAGATAGATAGATAGATAGAAGAGAAATAGGTATTTGGTACGTGTAATTTTAGAAGGGGTGGAGACCAGGAGACTAATTCACGCAATGCTCAATATTGCCGCTAGGTGGCAATATTGTGCTTTCCAAAGCTGTGCTCTTGAACCATGAGGAAGTGAATGGTCTTGTAAAAGTACACTCCTGTCAAGATGGCACCGAGTGGTTTGAAAGCGGTAGTTGGCGACAGTAAGTAAAACATTAGTTTTAAGTTATAAGGTTTTAAAGCGTAATTTAAATTGACTAGGTGATTTAGATTGTTTGCCCGTGTCAGATAAATCCCCAGGAGCTTAACGTCATAATAAAACCGTGTATTTCAAATGCCTCTTCCTGTTTTAATCTCAATTAAACCCTTCTACAAACCATGGGAGCGGTATTAAAACAACTTTAAAAGGCGTCGCTGTACATATTGAGATATATTTTTCGTATTTTTATGAGAGGTTTATGGCTGTTTCTTGTGACATAGGTGTACTGTGTGTGTGGGGGGGAATTAAGTGCGACAGCAGACATTGTAGGCTAACACTTGCTAGCTTTGGTTATAGGAAGTTCGTCGAGTTTGTTTAAAATGAGTTCATTAAAAAATACATATAGTTGTATTAATAAAACTCATTCACAATGTCATCATTTTCTCACCTGTTTTTTCGTCATGTCTGTCTTGAGTTACGGGGCAAAACAGTCAGGTTTTTAGTATGTGGAAATATTTTATGGTTCATTATTTACAATTTAGCACAATAGGAAACTTGGGTTTCATTTTCAATCAGGTGTTTGTCTTCATACGATTACACTTTACAAGTAAGGATTATTTTTGTTTTCTTTTATTCTCAAAAATGTTGATTATTAGAAGCCAAACCTTGCTCTAAATATCATTTTGTTTATGAAGGTGGCATGAAATTTGCATTTTTCTTTTTTCTTTTGTATTTTATTTCAGAAAAGCAGATGGCTACACTTCCTGATACTCTTAGGCAATGAACTACTATTTTAGAACTATTTTAGTATCTGGTGGTAATAATGGTAACCAGTGGAAAAAATCTATTATTAAGCTATTTCTGTAATCATTATTTATGAAAACTGATGGTTATTCTATAGTAACACATCCTTAAACCTAATAGCATGGTCAAGGACCCATGACAAATTTTTTAACTCCTAATAGGCAATTTTACTTAATTTTCATGATTTGTCCAAACAGTCACTGTTGTATTATTGACTTTAATCAACATGAAATGTTTTACTGTTTCTTAAATAGTAAGCATCGAAGAAAATCCTTTAATTAACCAACAAACTCGTGAAAAGAAAAAAAGCTTTATCAAAGATGCATTACTTTGTCACTTTCACATACATAAAATATATGTATTTTGTCCTACAGAAATCTTGAATGGGGTCATAAAGAGTGTAAAGAAAGACGGAGAATGGAAGGTAACCATAAAATAGCTGTTTTATTTATTTTTTTTCTCCCCACACAGCACTTTAGTGACACTGACCTTTGCTATGTCCTCCTACAGGTTTTAATTGTGGACCACATGACCATGAGAATTCTGTCCTCATGTTGCAAGATGTCAGACATTTTGGCCGAGGGTGTGACCAGTGAGTGTGCAGACTTGTCCTGCGATGCTATGTTAATGCCTGCCTTTGATTTATAATTCAGACGTTGAAGATCTTTGTTTATAATAAATTAATCCTACTAAACTTTATTATAAAAAAGAAAATTTAATGACCCTTTTTTAGATAAAAGGAGCTCATAATATTCTTTTTAACAAAATTCCCTGTCATTTTCCTAGATGACTAAACAAGCAGAATGATTATGCACCATTTTCTTTAAAAAAAATGTATGGGGTGTTATTGAGTTGTTGGCATTTAGATTAACTGAAGTTTTCTGTCTTCCTTTTAGTTGTGGAGGACATCAACAAACGCAGGGAACCAATCTCAAGTTTGGAGGCCATTTATTTGATTACACCAGTGGAGAAGGTAAACTTTTTGACATCATGGATTCTATTTGATACCATGCTTTAAGTAATTTTTTTCTTGCTCAAAGTTTTTTTTCTCCCTAATTACAGTCAGTTCGTGCTCTAATCAACGACTTTAAAGATGCAGCATTTACTTACAGAGCAGCTCACATCTTTTTCACTGACAGTAAGCAGCAAACATTTCTAAATACTGGAAGCCCTGTAGTCTTATTCTTATTTCAAGATGCATTAGAGTAACGGCTAATAAATTAAAATAAGAAATTAACTTTTAACAAAGTTGTCTTTATCTGGTGTGATGGTTTGTTTCCTGTTTTTCATAGCCTGTCCTGATGGTCTCTTTGCTGAGATTGGGAAATCCAGAGTAGCTAAGGTTGCTAAGACTTTAAAAGAGATTAACGTTGCATTCCTGCCCTATGAGTCTCAGGTTAGTAAATTCTTCTTGAATTAATCGTTATTTGTTTTGTTTCTCCTCCATTTCCTAGAAAAAATATTCTTCTTAGACAGACTTTGTCATTTTGTACTCACAGACTGTATACAAAAATAAATTTTGTTCAGTACAGCTTTCAAGACATTTACATTTTTAAAATACAGCAGTGATAAAAAGTAAGCAGCATTGATAAAATGTTAACATATGACTGTATATTATTTATAGTTTCCAGTTTCCAGGGCTTTGGATGATCAAGTCTTAAATTAACTGTTATTGGGTTATTATTAGGGATTAGATAGCAAACCATTTTTTCAAGCAGAGATGATAAATAGTCTTGCGTATTTGGTGGTTTACAATACAATGCATGTTGTGCTACAGCTGTGTATTAATTATGCACATTTGACAAAAAAGATTTTTCTTTTTCACCCCTTTAGGTTTTCTCCCTGGATGATCCAGAATCTTTGTCCTCATTCTACAGCTCAGAAAAAAGCAATGATAGAAACAAAATGATGGAAACTGTTGCAGAACAAATTGCAACATTGTGTGACACACTTAATGAGTACCCTGCAGTCAGATACCGCAAGTATGAAAACCATACTGTACATACATTTTAAAATCGGTTCGCTATTCTGTTTTCTTGCTGATTTTGTGATAATTGTGTTATTTTTTTTTTTATCATTTCCCTCCCAAGGGGACCAGAAGAAAATGCTAAATTGGCTAATGAGATATATGCACGCCTTGATGCTCACAAAGCAGATAACCCGAAAATGGGAGAGGTTAGTGAATATTAAGTTCAGTAGATTTTTTACCTTTATTATTTTTTTTGACATTTCTTTGGTTTTTGGGTTTAATTTTTACATTATATAATTTTTTTCACAAGCTTTGCTGAACCTTTCCCTTTTTTTCCTCCTATTTTCTGTCTTTCTTAGTTCAAAATTTCCTTTCTTTCAGGATGAATCTTAACAGGCATGTATTTCTGCACTTTTCTCTATTTGCTTCTACAATAAAAACTGAATTTCATAAGCATGCAATACAAGCATTTGATTTCTTTACATGTATCATAACTGCATGTTTTCTTAAATGCTGCTTGTTGTTGAGATTTATAGAATTTGAAAGCATGACACATTTCTTTTACTTTTTTTTTTTTTTTTTTTATATATATATAAAAGGGTCCAGATAAGGCTCGATCTCAATTGCTGATTGTTGATCGTGGGTTTGATCCCATCTCACCTGTTCTGCATGAGCTGACCTTCCAAGCAATGGCTTACGACTCGCTAGATATCAAACAAGACATCTATACGTATGTCAACATTTGACTGCTATTTGCCACAATTTATTTTTTGTTGTTAAATCTGTTGTAGTCTTTCCCCTGAAGATTTGTTTTCTAAAGTTGCTTTTCACATTAGTTGAATATTTCCGAAATATTTTAACATTATTTGTTTGTTTTTAACCGTCATCAAGTTATCAGTCTACCGGAATCGGGAATTCCAAACCGAAAGAAGTTTTACTGGATGAAGATGATGAGCTCTGGGTTCAGCTTCGACATATGCACATTGCAGATGTAACAAAGTGAGTATTGTTTTGTGTAGTAGCTAGATATAGATCCCACTGTGAAACATTTTCACACTCTTCTGATTATTTGCTTCCACTTGATTTTGTTATTAAAAAAATATAGTAGAGGGATACACATCTGCTGCAAAGACAAAAATGAATCTTGCAATAGCAAAAAAAAAAAATAATAATAATATTTTAATAATAAGGTTTGCAAAAACACACAAC